AATACTGTAAATACTTTAAGGAGAGAGGAAGGCCTTAGGAAGCTAATGTTTCAACAAAGTTCTTCTTTCCTCTTAATAATATTCAACTATTTTGTCTCATGTCTTAAGTCCTGTCTAGAATATCAAATTTTAATTGACAACAAAAAAAAACAAACAAACAAACAAAAAAAAAAAAAAAAAAAAAAAAACCGGTGGTTGTATGCCCACATAGTCATGATGTGCCTATATTATGGTCATCTTGTGATGTCATCATGACCATATTTAGGCATGTCACATGTTTTTGTCAAATATAATTTGATGGTCTGGACAAGGCTTTATGTTCAGTTGAACCGCTTTGTTCAGATTATTATTGTTTTTGTATTTTAATTCATCAACTTGTTTCGTCATCATCATCATCGTCATCATCATCATCCATCATCATCATCATCATCATCATCATCATCATCATCATCATCATCATCATCATCATCATCATCATTTTAGGGTTCATTTTTAGTCCATGCAACCATAGGTTAGATGTTTGATGATCAAAAATTGAATTGGACCAAACTTTTCAAGACCGCGTGCCAATTAATTTTAATTTTTCTGGTAGTTTCCCTAAATAGGGTATGATGTCTGATGGCCCCTTTATACTCGTTCGTTTTGTTAAATCATATTGTTATTGTTTGAAGGTTTGCATGGTGAAGTAATAATATATTTAAATTAATGATTGCGGTACACCACGTAGATAATTCTGAAAAGAACTGTTGTTTTATTAGGGAATGTCTCGACGTTTATTGCAACTGAATTTCATTGTTAGATTAATTGTGCTTGTTTTGATTTGACATTTGATTTCAACAATATGATTATTGATGGTCAATAAAATAACTGAATTGAACAGAACTTTGAAGCTTTGTGACGCAACGTTTTATTATTATTTTTATTATTATTGTTATTATTTTTTTTTTATTTATTTATTTTTTTACTTAGTGTGTTTTTACAAATTCTATGCTGTGTTTTGGTTGCTTATTCACGCGTGTTACATTTGCTGTTGTTGTTTAGAGGCACCTGGCCTGCTAAATGGTTTTCATTACTATTTTGTTGTGTCATTGTTGTGAACGATACAACTCATATGCAACTCTCCATTTTATCAACTTGATGCTTAGAATATGTAAGCTATCGTCTCATATAATCTGCAAGATACTGATGATAATGATAATAATATAATTAAAATAACAATCCATAATGGTAATGGCGATAATAATGATATGATGATGATGATGATGAAGATGATGATGATGATGATGATGATGATGATGGTGATGATGATGTTCATAGATATATGGGTCTATATTCGTTACATAATGGTAATATGGTACTAGCTCACTTACAACAATCTGGATAATGTTTTGGATATTTACTGTTGACCAAAACTAACCAAATCGGCCTAACTAATCACCAACAAAAAATTGTTTTTTCTCCTTGTAAAAAAACGTGAATATTTGGTTTATCAAAACTAATACAAATTCAGCTTTTGCGAAACAATTTCTTAGAGTAGTTTGCTGTAGACGCATAACAAATTTATTAGGCATTATGACACATTTTAGGATGGGAAATGTTCAGGGTACTTTCCATCACGACCTGAGCTAAATGAGAAATATTTACCGCTAGAATGCTAGGAAATTTCATTATCAACTGTTGGCCAAAACTTTTAATCAAATCGGCCTAGCTAACCACCAACAAAAGTTGTTTTTTCTTCTTGTAAAAAAAGGGGATTTTTTTCGGTTATCGGAAGCAATTTGCATTTTAATGCACAGACGCATAACGAATAATGTTATTAGGCATTATGACACATTTTAGGGTGGCAAATGTTCAGTGGTATTTTCCATCACGACCTAAGCTCATGGTACATGGAAGGTGAACCTCTTTTTTACTAGAAAAAAGTACATACACCTTCAAAACCGTCCCAAGTGAGTACCGTTGTAACGGATTTTGTTGATTCGATTTGTTGACCGGTTGTTATCCATTTGTTTGTGATAAACGAAGCAGAGTTTCGTGAGAATAATTTGAGCATGGTTTGAATAAGAAGTCCTAATCGTAGATAAATCGAAGATTTAAGTAGGATTTCCTGTCTATCCACAGAACCGGCACAAATACAGAAACTTGCAGTTGGATGAACAACGTGAATCTAGCGTATAGGCATATAATAATTTTTCTCTAAACAATTCAATAGTTTGAATGAGATTTATTAATTACTTATTATAATTTCCTTTTATTTCTTATGTATATTTATTTTTTTTAGAAAGTTTATATTGACAGACTTTTCTGATAGTTCTTCTAACTTCCTGATTTTTTGTCTCGATAGCTGAGTATTAATCTATAATCTTCTATGATGCTTCCAAACTTTCTCAAAATAAGAAGCAACAGCACACATTTTAAAGATATGAGCATCTTTAAATATTAAAGGCAAAATATTAATAGGCTAACTATTTTCAATATCATTTTGATGAACACTCTCCGTGAACTTTTAGCACTTCATATAAAAGCTTTAAAAACAAATACATATTTGATGATATTCTTTATGGTTCAGCATTACAACAGAATCAGCTAATTAATAACGTGCGATTTTTTTTTAAATTTTGTTGTACATCTTAAGTCAATGTCCTCCATTGTTTTACCATGACCTGACGTTACTATTATGTTTAGATATAATGGACCTCCGTTTTCTGTGCACACTTTTTTAATTTGAATGATAATTTATGCATATTGCATAAATACATAATGATAAAATAGTTTAGGGGCACTGTAGCACAGCCGTGTAACCAGACCTTTCCAGAGTGTCAAAGTTCACAAAGGGGTGTGGCTTAGCAGAAAGGTCGATTAGTTAGGAATACACGCTTTTATTTTTAGAAAATATAGAAATGAATCAAAACCACGTTCACTTTTATCATTAAAAAAATCACTTTTTAATGGTACAAAATACAACAGACTACTCTCAGTAGCATACATTGCCAAATCCTGATCAAAAACTTTTTTTTTTTGGCATTACACGTAATAAAAATTCTTTCATAGCACTAATAACTGTCTTCTTTAAAAAAGAAAATAAGAACTTCGTAACTATAATGAGGCCTAAAAATGCAAGTGTAGAATTTAGAAAACCTAAAAACACTTACATTGTACCGTAGGCGGAATCTTGGGTAGGAACCCCCTATAGGATTTTACGATTTTTATAGATTTTTTCCCTCTCTCAACTTGAAGCTATTGTATGATGTCAAGCTAATAGTCTATACACTTTTTTCTCAAGGTATTGCATAACACGCAATGGATTGTTTAAATCACATGTTATTCAACTTGGTATGCAGAACGACACCTGTATTTATATTTATTTATATATAATATACTATATATCTCTATATTTATGCATAATATGCATAAATATAGAGATATAGAGTATATTATATATAAATAAATATAAATATTATATATATTTATACATACATATATATTTATATATACATATTATATAAACATTTATTTATATATTATATATACATTTTTCTATAAAAAGTGTTTCCTTGTATTCAACGTTTTCCGTACAAAAATAATGTAGAAATGTACATTCCCTGACTAATATTAAGTGTTATTAATAAAGTATAGACCTGGGTGTAGGCCTACTTAAGCTTACAAAAGAGTGAGTTTATTTGATTTCCAATTCAAAGCACATTATTCATTTTAACATGTAATGTAAAATGTAATACACTCAACATCAACAGCAGCAGGAACATTATACTGTTCAATCAAAAACCTTAATGACGTCATATGCGATTCTACGTGCAATATTTTTCAGTAGCCGAACAATCCAACAACCGCCGAGAATTACTCCACTACAGGCAGGCTGCGCGGCTTGATGACGTAATTAAGGGTTTAGTTCGCAACACAAATAAATAATTTAAGTTTCTATGTTTTTCAACCGTATAGACAATAATGCACACTGTACGGTATATACCAAACTATACTGTAAACATAGAGCAATATTATACACGTACATCTATCTATATATTATTATATCAATAATTTTAATTATGTACTGTACATGAATCTCAAAATATGTATGACAAAATGAATGTATTTCTTTTTTACATTCTCTTACTCAGTTTCTTTACTTCGACTTTCATTATAAATTAATCCTGTTGCGCCTCTTATAATTTTCCATAAGAAGTAAATTTGTGCAATAAAACTAGTGTTTCTATATAAAAATTATACAGTCACAGAAATTGCTGGCTGTTTTTAGTATTGATGCGTCGCTATGTACCGCAAACGCGTTCAACAGTCACAGCAGAATTAGAGCCGATTAGGAATCTCTTGATGAAACGCTAAAATATTGGATGGACTCTCATGTTACATCGTACTCGTTTTAGGTTGGTACTGGATTAAGTTCTAAAGCATCGAATATCGTCATGTACAGTAGTTACATAAGTAACGTAGCGTTCTCAACGTGTCTGTCGTCAACGCTTACAAGTTTAATGTACGCGTGTACGTCAGAGCGTTTCATTCTAGTTGGCATCATAACACTAACTCTGAGCGGTTTAGATCTTCATGTATTTAGCTGATTGTTGACGCTTTATGACAATGTATTTCTGCAAATTCAACCTCTTCAGACAGGAGGTTTCATCAATAAACGCGTCATACTGTTGTTATATAAGTGTCGACAACCGTAATCTCTTCAAAAGTGAAGGCAGTAGGGTGGTCACTGAAGAATTCTCCGTGAAGTCGATGACGACGCCGTTTTCGATAGAGTAGAACGGAATTGAATATTGCAGCCATTACATGTAACCCAACACATACGTAGAAAGACAGATCGTATGTCCCAGTTGCCTCGAACATCATTCCTGTTAGGGATAAAATAATAATATTATTATTAAAATAATAATAATAATAATAATAATAATAATAATAATAATAATAATAATAATAATAATAAGGAAATAGGAATAAATAATTACGAGTCAACCTACCTCCTACACCGGTAGCAAAGAGGCTACCAACACCGAAACTACTGACTGCCATCGTACAAGCCTGGACCTTTGACTCGCTCGGGAAGACATCGACACAGAAGGCGTACTGGTAACATAGAGTAACGGCTCTTGCCAGACTTAGCACTAATTCCAGAAAGAAGATAGAATTGGAGAACAAAAGAATCCGGTTAAAATCATAAATAGTGGTATTAAATGTTTCCCACGTTACCAGAAACGAAGGGAAACATTCAGAAGCTCGGTAAAACCAAGCCCACGACATCAAAACTTATTCCATCTGTGAAAACACATGATCATTATGCAGATATAAATTAAGTCTTTCATTTTTGGGCCAGTATAGACATCGTATTATGAATTTTCTGACCAATAGATTCCCAATGCGTATCTTGAGATTGATAGTGACAGAAAAAAATAATTCAATATCCATGAGATTAAATAATGCATATTCATAAAATGAAATATGTATATTTATCCGGCAGAACTATATAATCTGACCTAAATCAAACATAAATACAATTCACATCCATAAATAAAAGGTAAGTTCTAGAAAGAAAGAAAATCAAATGTACGATAGTCAATATGGATAGATTAAGAAATAAAGACAATTACAAAACATTCATCACTTGGTATGAAATATATATCTTCAAAACATAGGCCTAATTCGGTGCTACCGTTTTTCGAAAAAAAAAAAAAAAAAGAAGAAGATATGCCTGGTGACATCTGTACAAAATTGTGTAGGCAATTGGCGTCCATCGCGAAAAGTTGTTGAAAACAAATCTTTTGATGATGTTTACTAGGCCTACTATTTTTTACAGAAATATTTTCACAAAATTTGCTAGACGCATTACGGTACTTAAATTTAAAATGCGTGTCGATAATAAGCCCTAAAAAAGGTTTAACTGCGCATGACTTTGTCATAGCTCATTGTAGTTTAACGGTTTATACTAAAGTTTTTCATTTTATAAAGTGTTTAAACAGCTCTTGATTTTTACGGTATAGCAGGCCTATCCGAATCTTTAAAAACTGTTATAGCTCTATAAAGTGCAAATACATTCGCCGTATGCTCTGTTTGTTATCATAGATTGAATTTCGACATAGCCATGTGCAGCTAAAACAAGGCCTTATATAGTTAATTTATATTACCAATGGCATGTATAGACCATAACGTAGACACCTAAGTTAGGCATACACCACATGTAATAAATTATGTTAAACCCATGCGTTTGAAATAATGTAATGTCATTCGTTGTTAATTTTCAGTCGGTTAATTTTGTAAGGGCAATCTGATTCGACCAAACAACGCCCAACGGGTTAAAAAAAATCTGTTGTGTATTTTTCAATGTTAGGCCTACATGCATTCGCAAACGAAAATAAGTTACTGAGTTAATCACCAGCAATGCAAATGGAGATGTCGTAGCATATTGCCTCGTATGTGTTCGTGGGGACTATGGCAGTTCATGGGGTCATGAGAGTCAATTGGAGTGTTTAGCTATAGGATTTACTAATGGGAATGGACAATTAGGTCGTTGTGCATTATGGAATGAATTCGACCATGGCTTACTGCTGAACGTTGTCAATCAAATTAATAACAAATGTTTGATATATTATTACATTATATGAAATATTTTGTAAACGCCAAGTGCATGCAACTGTAAAGAACTATTATATTATAAAAAGAAATGTAGGTCCTATACTGGTGAGCGAGTAATCCTATGAAATGTGTTGTTGAATAGATTTCAGATTTAAGGGCCTTTATCAGTGATATTTAAAATTGTTTCGCAATTACGAATTCAAATATGTTAAGTGGGTCAAATTGAATTTTCAATGTAATATTTCACAGCAGACATTATATTTTGTTCGTTTTAGGATCCTTTCAAATCTGTCTAAACTATGAAAAGCCAAGTGTGTCAGAAACACACGCTTTTCACACGGTTACCTCGTAACGGTGATTGTGCGGTGGTGAAAAATGATAGTCGACGTCATCGGAAAAGTCGATTTTATGAAGGTGGATTAGCAAAAGTCAACTCTATGGTAGTAGGCAATTCTTGTTGTGGTGGCGGCTTCAACATCTGTATCACATACACAGCTGGTTAGTATTGTCATCCTCATGCCCCACCGTCTCTTTAGCCACATTCTGTCCTACGTCTTTCACACCATTTGACATCAAAACTGATTACGTCATAGTTAAAGTTCAGTGATCATCTGTCTGGGATGTAGTGACATGATTTTCCTTATGGATGTGTGCGACACGCGAGAGTGGTGGTCAGTTCGTAAACAGGATTTAGTATTGGTGCTTTCCCCCACGGACCCCAACTGTTATATCCTGTAATAACTTTCAAAAGAAGAAAGAATAAGATGTTTAAGGGAAAATATAAACATGGTATTAGTAAAATCAACCTTAGATTAGGCGCAAATGCAATGCAGAGCATGCCAGCATCGAGCCTTACCTGAATAGCAGATCGCCACGCTTGTGAAAGTCGTGGCGAATGGTAATGATGCAATCGGAATTGCGCCGATTAAGCAGGCCAAGATGTACATGCCGGCAACGCTGATCGGCAGTTTCCCGCCTATCAATGTAATGACCAGGCGGCCGAGCAGATCGGCTCCACCCATTATACCGATTGCAGCCGACCCTTGGTCGTCGCTGAAGCCTACAGTTTTCATATAACTAGCCTGGAAGAAAGCAAAATGATATATGAACAGAATATAATTTTGTAAATTATTCATATAACTGACTTTTTTTTGCAGCATCAAATAAAAGTAATAAAATCAACAAAGAAGAATATAATAAAATTCATTAAAACAATATCAACGATATGCTTACAAAAGGCATGTACACTTACAAGATTTACATAACTGAATACAACTGCGATCCCCATTCCAGTGTAACTAAAGATAACAAGCCAACACTCAATTGTCGTAAGAAATTTAATAAATTTTCTAGAGAAAGACTTGGATTCGTGTTCCTCAAACACAACTTCAAGGTAGACTTTCTTTGTGTCTGTATAGACCTCTGCTTCCAGTTTCTTGGAAGGATAGGCCTCTTCAATGTTCTGGACGGTTTTGTAGTCTGCAGTTGAGTTCCTCGGCGGTGACTTCAAAAAGGCACAGCATACTAAACCGACAGGTAAAATGATAGCAGCCATAACTCGTAGAGCACCACGCCAACCAAGTATATTAAACAAAAATTCAAGGATCTGCGAAGTTGCCATGATGCCTACAATAAGAAAAAATACATTAATTACTTTTCAAAAAAACTCATAATAATGATAACAATATAATAATAGAATAATGATATTATAATTATGGCTAAGCACCGAATAACAACCAATAATCAATCTTTTGCGCATAACTATATCGAAGGAGTAATAAAGAGTTTTATTAATTAAAATTCAAGTGCACATAAATATTGAAGGTCAATATATGTATATAATAAAAAGTGTTATTAATTAACAGCTATTGAAGATTAGCTGTTGCAGAGGCGAATTTGGCAACAGTATATCACCAGGTCGAGAAGAGTAATTATTGTGAATGTTTGCTTATGACCTTCGACATACATGTAAGTATACGCACTTGAAACTACAAGAAGATGCATTGCAGAAATGGCGATCCAATTAAATACAGGCACGTACACATGAAATATGGTTACGTATGAGAGAAGTAGCTTTATCTTAGCAATATTTTTGAATTGTTCAATACAACAATGACTGAAGATTAGGATCTTTGGCCTACACGAAGGTCAGAGGCAGGCGGTGATAACCATATTTAATACCGTATGAAATGCCGGCTGGGAAAGAGACAGTCAATGACACCAATTGAAGCCTATTTTATTTCTATCAGGGGCACTCTTAGGGTAACATTATTATGCAGCAAATAAACTATGGGTTTTAATAGTTATATGAAGCTTACATTACAAGGGGAAACTGTTGAGTCACCAAGGGTCACTGCAGGCATTAAACTAGATCTGGAATTATTGGCCAACATAATCACCTCTACCGTTTACGGGCTAAATTATGTCTGTGAAGAGGCCTACTTGAAATAAGCTGTTATATAAATATCATCGAGTGATAGTCTAATAGTGTTCCGAGTCCGACATACATTGCTGTGGTTTTGAAAGTGTGAACGAATAATGACTACAGTAATTTCATTATTGATATATTGATCATAAATTGCAGTTCTCTGAATGTCATTATAAAAATTTGCATACAATAGAAGACCCATCATATAATTATTGATAAATTCCAGTTCTTCTTTATCGACTGCCATTAGATAGAACAATTTAATCTGTGCAAGTGTTATTATTATAATATTACATGTGCTGGTAGAGGCTTGCAAAAGAATCAGTCAACACTAACATTTTAGGTTCTGTGCTGCTTCGCTATGAATATTCCGCCTCCTTGCGACAGAATAAGGAATTGTAGTAAGCCCGGTCGGAAAAAGGCCCACGGCAAGACTGATTCGCCAAACGGTTTAATTCGATAGTTTTGTAGTCTATTAAAGATATCTTTTATTGGTAAGAGCTAAATAGAGTACGGTATGTTTTTCAGCTATTACGATAAGTTGTTAGTTTTATAGTCGATCTAAAAAGAAAGGGGCATTATACTGCTTTAGATTTAAGCTTTAAGACACCGTTTATGTTAAGCTTCGTCCAGACATTTTCTTTGACAAAAAAAAAACAAAAACAAAAACAAACAAGAAAAAAAAAACAAAAAAACAAACCTGTTGTATGCCCATATATAGTCATTATGTGCCTATATTATGGTCATGATGTGACGTTATCATGACCATATTTAGGCATGTCACATGTTTTTTGTCGAATAAAATTTCATAATCTGCACAGGACCAGGACTTACACTAAAAACAAAGATATTTTGATCGTACACGCGGTAAAAGCGTCCGCCGAGGCAGCAGTGGCACAATATTTATGAAGCCTGCTTTCCATACAAATCGCTGTCGCCGACTCCTTTGGCGACGCTGATTGGTCAGTTGATTCAGAGAGCGTTCCCATAGCGTCGGGTACAGATACGCTGTGCAAGGATTACAATGAGGGCGCTGTAGCGGCTGTGTAGCGATTCCATGGAAACCAGGCTCCACGCGCGGCGCGAGCACACTATAACTTACCAGCTCCAGTTCCGGTGATGGCCAAACCAGTGGCTTTTGCGCATTTCCTTTCGTCGAAGTACAAAACGATGAGACTAAGGGACGGATGCTGTATAAAATTGGTACCTAATCCGAAAACGATGCTATAACTGAAGAAAATGTACTTGATAGATGGCATAAATGACGTTACTAACAGTCCTATGGAGCACATAACGAGACCAAGGGCTACTATACCCCGATAAGTTATCTTCTCTGCTAAGAAGGTTGACAGAGGTGACGGAAGAGTTAGCAAAGCGATCGCCAGGCACCCGATCCATCCTGTAAGAAATAATAATAATAATAATAATAATAATAATAATAATAATAATAATAAAATTAATAACAATACTGAATTATAACAATAAATGATGGTGATGATGATGGAGATTATGACGATAACGACGATGATGATAGAGACGATTTTGATAATGACGACAATGATATGGTAGTAACCGAAAGGTCCACTGATTAATCTCAGATAAGATAGTATAGTACATACTCCAAGTATCGAAATGCACGCCGTCGTGTCGTGCATTTTGATACCTGAAGTATGTATTATACTATCTTATATGGTAGTAAATTCACGAATTACCAAGTGGACGTTTTGAATTTTTACACTACATAGCCTACTTATTGCAATTTGTTGTCGTTATTACCAGCATGGGAGTTCGGCCCGTTTCATACACTGGCACCGCACTGTGGCTGCCGTGAGGCGGATGCCTAGGGGCCAGGTAAAATATTAGATCAACATTAGTAGTCCATACTCTTCCAGTTTTAATTTTGTACATTTTGCTTTCATTGAATACCGGTTAAAATCCTGCACATAATAGAACCATTATTATTAAATACTAACATATGTTGCTTTAACAATGTCACCTTGTAGTTGTAATCTAAGGTAGAGATTGTCATCGAGATCAGATACGAGTTGTGTTATATTAACTATATTATCAACCCGAAAGCTTCAGGTATTTAGACAATAGAATAACAAAAGATATGTGACCTTGGAATTTGTTGACAGAAAACGTGACATTGTTGCTTTTCCAGGGGAAGCTACAGAAGACCAGAACATTTAGATTTAGCTAAATTGTTCCAGGTAAATCACCAAAAGCGGCGTCAAAGCCAGAGCCAGATACATGATAAAATGTAGCATTTTGTCGATGGTGGTGTGAGTGGTGTTATTCCCTGTTTCCACCCGCACACAGGCCACAAACCCCCGGGCTCTCCTCTATAACTTCTATGTTTATCACAGGTACGATATACCCAAAAGATTGAACTTTATCAGAAAACAAATTGATAGATTTAAAATCAAGTAGGATCAAGGCATGGTGCAAAATGAAATTTGAATGATAATTTCGAAAATCATCCTTTGACTTTGGACAAATAATCCGCAACAATTTTGATATGGTAACAGTTCAAAAGGCGCGCCGCGGCCGCGGTACCAAATCCAACGAAATCCTCCATGGCGACATTCCTATACAGCAGCTTAGGACAGGGGAGGATCCAGTAGGGGGAGGGGGTACAGGTGGAACGTGCCCCCTCCCCGTTTTGCCACTAAATTTTAAAAATGTCAATGCATATTAATGTTATGTGCTACTCATCTATTCTGAAACTGTTGTCCGCCCCCAACCCCCCCCCCCTCCTTGTTTCAAAAATTATGCATCCGCGAGGGCTTGGGACAGATTTATTTCCTTTTTTTATTAATAAAGGGAGGGTCTATTTGTTTATACAGGGGTTATAAGGCCGCGAAGACCTAGACCGGGAAAATGGACAATTGTTACGGTACGATTCCTTTTCTGTTACAAAATTTGTATAAGCATTTTTAGTTTATTTTATTGTTATCATTTTTATCAGGTCTATAGTAATTTTTGAATATGTTTTTTTATGATTGTATATTCGTGCTTATAATACTGTATTTCAATGTTTATATTATATTTGAATTATGTATATAGAATTATGATATTGTATATTCGTCGTAGTCCTGAGGAGCGCTGAGCCCCTCGACAGTAGATTAATCTTTTACTTTTGGGAATCCTGCCACATGACAATTATATTCTTATATATTATGGCGCAATAAATGAAAAGAAATGAATGAAAGAACATGTGTTAGGCACACTGCTAATCCGACTTGATTTAAACAGCGATAGTTTTACGTAGCCTCTTGGCCAGCATGCATTCTCTTGGCCCCTGGCCAAGACGTCTAGCCTTTGGCACACACGACCTACCCTGGGTGATTTCCAGGGTTTATTTTTAGAAAATTTCAGTCTAGGAATTACTGCTTAAAGTCAGGAACTGGTAGACAGTCAGCTGATGCGAGTTTCATTTTGATCTCAACGTCCAGCGCATTACTTTATAATATATTATGGCAATCCGATTCTTCAAATAAGTTTGCAGGCCATAGGTTATGCAAACTAACTTCGCCACCTATCCTTGGACAGAAGAGATGAGCAAACGTAGAAATAATCGCTTCATCCTTGACACGAGATGAGCAAACATGGCATATCTGCAAGGCCTTGACGACTATATGGTTCGATTTGTTTTATAAGTACAGATATTAAGGGGTCAATGGTTGTTAGTAACTTCTGTCTCTTAAAGGAGTGTGGGCTTATCTATGGCCAGTAGATGACAGGGTTGAAACAAGGGTCATTAGCTGGGGAAAGAAAAAATTGATATCAAATTTTCCATTTGGGGCACCTGGAGAGAGAACCCATTTTTTTCTATGGACTTGCACCCCCTCCCCCATTACGTCCTCTATACCGGTACACCGTGGGGCTATGACTTGAAAGTGGCACAATTCACGTATTACACATGTCAGGAAATATTATTGATCGGCAGTGCGCCCTCTCTTCCAAATAGAGTACTCATGCATTTTTCTGTAAAGAGTCATGTTCACGGAACCAATGGCTTAACGTTCCATCCGAAGAGTTAATTAAAATAACAAATTTTAGCCAAGGAGGCAAAGGTAGATATTGACATTTGTCGAGCCAGGGATGAAATCCGACGTTCCAAGGCTGATCTCGCAGCTTCTCTAAATCTACTATATTATACTATTTTAGGTCCAATGCATCTTTGTTCAAGTTTCATACATTCCGTGTGTGGCTTCAGTAGTCTGACTCTGAGACTGAATGTAGGCCTAATCAAAGATATAATATGACCCATGGTCTTTTGATAATGGCGTACAGGTATGTGTTATTAGCTACCATCAGTAGTCCTGGCAATATGCAGTAATTTGCCTGTGTAGACTTCAGGAGTCACAGGGGCCAAGCGTCACGAATTCTCTCCCGGCCTTCCTCGTTTCCAAGAAGAGCAAGGCTATGCGGTTGGAGACAAGGCTGGCTCCAGCAACGATTTGCTACAAATAGTTAGATATTAATAGCAACAGAGTCCCATTTGCCATAGTCTGTCTCGAAAGCCCCACGGATTAATTTCTCTTCAGGGCCCACCGTGTGAATGTGTGGGTTGGTTCGAGTAGGGAAACTACAAACGACCTCCTTTTCATTAAGAAATAATGATGTGGCAATCGAAGGATTATGAAAATGTGAAAATGAGATCTTATGATAGCACACAATGGAAAATGAAACGGAACCCGCATGATTTAGGGCCGCTGCGCACGCCTCATCCATGGTTTTGTGTTAAATACGCGTTGTGCGGTGTTATCAAGAAAAAACGTGAGGGGATTTTGGTAAAAGCGCCGCATTTTTGGTTCAACAGCGCAGCGATTGATCATGTCTTGCGCAGGCCTGATCGTTACATAACACCCTTCAGAACCATCACTCAGTAGGTATGTCTTTTAATTAAGGATAAGGTCTTATACCGGTACAGTACTTTATTGCTCGGCTCAGTAACTTTTTTTGGAAAGTTCGGTTGTTACAGCTACGAGCGTTTTATATGAAGGTCGTGGAATTATGGAAGCTCAATATAAACAGCTGCAATAATCTAATATGCAGCAATATGGAAATAAGCCTACCTATGACCATGGCAGCGCTATCAAAATTAATTAAGCCCCTCGCTAAACGTTGTCAATGGTGTATCTAGGCCTTGGACATCCTGTAACATTAACAACGATCCCTGCCTTTTCAGATGGATTAGCTTATATATGTGGTAAAATGAATGGGAAATAGAGAGGAAAACATTCCAATAACACTTGACTTTGAGAAAGTGTAAGACAGCGATGAATAACAAAAGAATTCATATGCTGGAAATAAGTTGCGCAATACAACAGATTGAGGAAACTGCAATGCTGATGCACTCAAATGGACGCAATTTCTATGGTCTATTAAGTAGACATCCTTGGACTTGGTCAATGCGCTGACCTATTGAATTATAGCCTACCGTTGCAAAACATCTCATAAGTCAACAATACAATACGTAACACTCTAGCAGTAACGGCATACTGTTATCAAATGAGTTATTCCAAAAAAACAAAAGTGTACAGAATAACTAGTCCTTTGGAGTTGAAAATAATGGTGCATAAATACTTAGATTGTTTGGTTTAAACTTCTCTTACATACGTTATAGTTGAATAAAAGGATAAGGCTATTATTAACCACATGACTTAAACCACTGGCAGGACCAAAGTAATTGCTTTTAATTTTCGTTTTGTGCGACCTGTCCTTTCTCTTTTGTGCGCGTAAATAAAATACTGTGTTATTGATCGATTTAAGTAAAATCGGCGATGATGTAATTGTAATACAAATTACAATATTAGACAATTTACCTAATAACCGTGCATCCAAAGAGTGTTAGATGTTACGCAATGTCTGTGATAATCGACAACAGGAAATTGTCTCACTCTTACCTGTTTCGCCAGCACCGCTGTCGAATTCCTCTTGTAATCGAACAAATAGAAGATTGTAGTTGTATAGCACACCCAGAACAGGTATGTACATAATTGCCGACACAAACACAATCGCCCATCCCTGGTACTCCTGCAACAGTTTTTGCGTCCGTTTGGAACATTGTGCAACACAGTTTGTTTCTAGATTTTCTGGAAAGACCTTACTATCTATGTTCTTCCCCATTCAAAACCCCTCACCGATCCCTCCACAGTAGTATGTACCCGATCCCCTGTTCAACGGAGAAGCGAGATAACTAGAAACTGAATCTTCTTGATGGGCAAACGTTCAGCCGTGATACACTGTAGGCGAACTTCAACACCACCCGTACGAATAGAGTATTACAGTTTTCTGCAGTAACAGCTGATCGGATGTAAACAATACATTTGACAATCAGCGATAGCGGACTGTATATCAGTGGTTGTCAGACAAGGCTAACAGACGCGCTTTTCACTCAATATACCCGATCAAAATGCTGAGGATGCGTTTTTATATCTGAATCCACACTCAATATGTATATTCGTTTCTTTGCCTGCTTGTGTCTTCTCTCGCTGCTACCTTCGAATAATATAAGCAGGCGACTTGCTACGTTTAGCCAACCGAGACAATAACATTATGCGCACTGTCTTACTGCGCATGCCGGTTTTGACCGGTTTTTATCGGAAGAATCGACACAATCGCCCGACTCACTGGTTTACGGGGTATTGTTATTCTCTACATTGCATGTCGAAATTGATTTGAAATCACTCAATTACTAGATATAATTATATTACAGGTAACCGTCTGTGTTTGGTGTTTAAAGACGATATTGGAGTCTTTTAAAATCAAAGGCACCACAATATAGGAATCGTTATCAACATCGACATCATCATCATCATCATCATCATCATCATCATCATCATTTTCGTCAATTCAAACAACTTAACTCAACGTAAAATTTATTTATCTTTTGATTTATGTACAGTTTTCAAAGAAACAGATAAATAATAATTTTGGAAGAGGCGAAAACCCAAAAAGCAAAGCTTGTGAGGGCTGCCTGAATCAAAACGAAAATAATCAAAATATTGTAATGTATAGAGAACATGCTGGATCATCATCGTCACCAATTTTCATCATAGGACACACTATTATTCCCTTATTCACTCTAACTTTGTCAAATTCACTTTTCCCTGATTTGTTATTAGGCCTATTTTATAGAATGGAAAAAATGCCGGCACGGATAAGCCTGCTGATAAAAAGTAAAAGGTTAAAAATTGAACCCTTGTATGATTCCAATTTTGTAGTCTCTCTCCAATGAAAGATAGCTTATGGGACGCCGGGGTTTCCATTGTCTTTAGCATCTTTAGTCTCTAATTAGAATAATAAAGATAAAAGATATTCTTTAATAGGGCCTATGGTCCTATCTTTAATTGGAGTTACAGGTGGGCTTTAATTGGAGGGAGTCTTTAATTAGATGGAGACGTAAGCATCATCGAGTGTCAAATAATCTGGTTTTATTTTTAGCATTTAATAATAATAATAATAATAATAATAATAATAATAATAATGAAAAATTACCGTCATCTGCTCACTGAACGGTTCACTGCACACTTATGAGTCAAAACGGGACCCCCTTTTTTCACAAAATCGACTTATTTTGAATGGTTTTACTTGACAATCTGAGGTGATCAGATTAGAAAACTAGACATTTTAAGCTTTCGTTTATAATCATCTATACATTTTTGCAATCAATGCAAAATTGAGTGATCATCCATCTCTTTCAAAGTTTATGTTGTGTAAGAACATACTAATTGCTACTGCTTCTCATCTTTGGGATGAACGGTCAATTGTAGCTCATAAATTAATCGTTCGCCATACACGTCTCATGCTAATTGGTTTAGAAACCAATGATCATTTTTTTTGTTCACATTTTCTGTTCAAAATCGTCACCCTGTTTTACCAGTTGGTCAAATGACGTCATGCGCTTTGTGTGAGCGCTATTATAGCAAACATTGATTGTGGTTTGTGGTGAGTGCGTTCATGCATACGATGTAATCAAATTTAGCCGATTGAGTTTATGCTGAAATACAGTAGACGAAAAGTTTCATTATGAGGGCCAATAATATTTTCAGCAAATAAGATTGTCGTTCAGTAGTAAGAAATCATTGAATAAAACTGATTTTTTTTAGTCTATTTTAAAAGGAAGAGAACTTAGGCTTACTGATCTTGGTTGCTTATATAGTGGCAGGCGACGAGTTTAAACGATTGATTCCGTGCAGCCAGTGCTACCAACTTATCAAATAATATTTTGTTCTAAGCCTGATTAAAATATGGTTGGCATTATGATATATTTTGAATGTAGTACAACTAAAATAAATAAGCAAAAGACTTGTTTTGTTTTAGTGTTAACAGTAAGCCTGGTACAATTATGGTTCTAGATACAAGTTCGGCTCTTTGCCAACGCGCGGAATATGTTTATTTAAATCAAGGAGGATAACATCAGGGATATATACAGTTATGTCTATAATATCACGAATTGGCAAGACTGAAATGGCATGATGAGGCCCAGATGGTGATTTTAATCAAATCAAATTAAGTAATTGCAAAACTTATCAACATATTACAGTAACCGGGGCGCATTTTGAGGAATGAATTGGTCTAGGCCCATATTATTGAGACGGCAGTACAGTGAGTGAGGCTTTATATTATCGTATAGAGGGCGTCCTATTTAACCCCTACGAATAAATATGATCATGTCATAGACTTCAAAATTGAAAGTGAAAGTAGCTGCTCCGATGTTTGAAATTCTAATTTAATCGGTTTAGAGTGTCACTTTTCAAAAATTACTAGGTTTATATTTTTTCCCCCTCCCCGACGAGGGCGCTGGCCTCCACCACCAACTGGCTCCCCCATTGCTAAAACTGTAAAGTATTGGCATAGGCCTAACTGTAGCTACAGAAACAGTTTAACTAACTTGCCATATTTTGCCTATGATATATATATTCCACAAGTAGGCCTAAATTCTACTATTAACGTAGTGTTTTTTGTTTGTTTTTGTTTTTTGTTTTTTGTTTTTTTTTTTTTTTGATGAAAATTTCGTGTGCGTTTATTCATAATTATTCACATTGAAAAAGTAGTTTATGCAAATTTCGGTAAAAGTATAGGCTGTAGAGAAGTGCATGTTTATAGATTGATTTTAGTTTACTTTTGTACCTTAAGAATGTAGATTTCAACCAAATACAGTAGGCCTATCTAATAGGTCACCTAAATGTAACCGAAAGCCTATGGTCGTTTGAAGGTATAAATAAAAGGAAGCCGCATCGGTGATATAAATCAATGGCGGATCCATGAATTCAAAATAGAGGGGGCCCAGACAGGGACTTTCACAGATGGGGAGTCTAGACAACCTCAGCCCCACCATAGTTGGGGCAGAGGCAAGAACATTTATGATTATGGAACTCTAGATGGCCAGAAATGACCACTATCAGACCTAAATTTGATTTAAATCCTTTTTTACTCAAGTTCTTTAAATTATTTTGAAAAACGTAAAGGGGGGGGGGGGGGAATGGTGGTGGGAGCCTTTCATTAAGTATTTCGCTCTGCGTGGTGGTCGTCAGCTGTCTAACCCGTCAATAGTACGATAATTAATTAATTATTTTAAGGAATAGGAGTAGTTTAGTCTCATTGTTATTATTTTTTTATTTTATTGTTATTATTTTATAATATATATTAATAATAATAATAATAATGACTTCATTTAATAAAGCGCAAAACAATATCCATTAAAAGTGTTCATCGGCGCTGTACAGAATTTAAAATATTCATAGATCAACATACACTTTAAACATATGAGAAATATACATTAAAAGCTAATAGAAATGTTTGAAACCAATAATCATCACAAAATCACAATACCATTTAACACATCAAAAATCTACATTGAAATAAAAGAAAACGCGACATTATTTCTTTGTAAAGCGCATAGGGGCAATGTGCAATATGCGCTATATAAATATAACATTATTATTATTAATATCTAAACCGTTGTTTTTTGCTTAAATACTGAAATATTTTTCAATATGGGGGAGTGGGTCATTTTACAGATATTGCTTGCTCGACGTGCGACAGTTCGGGAACTTTGATGATTTCTGATGGCAGTGGTGGCGCCAGGACCTGCCCGACGGGAGGGGCTAAAGGCCCGACAGGGGTGGGGTGGCTAGTGGAGCGAATCGAGTCTCACTTGGCTGGGGCCAGGGGGGCCGCCCAGGGCCCCCGGTGGGGTCCAGGGAGCGACGCCCCTGGAAGCCACGGATATTTGATGATTTATGGCGAATTTTTATTACTTATTTGATAGGCATCGAGTTACTATAATATGACTTCATGTAGGCTGTGCTTTCTAATGTTGAAATCAGCTTCCAAAACCAAAACATTTTGAATAAAGCAAGAAACAAGGAGTATGCAATGTAACCATCTAATTTATTTTCAAATCCCGGTCATTCTTGAAAGTGAAATTCTATATTTTGGAAATTTTGCATGAAATCTGTCAACCACGCTGTCATGGTCGAGGTTGCTTCACCTATCACGATGTATTCCAACCATCACGATGCTATCTAAATGAGCATTTGTCATAACAGAACGCAAATTATTTTTAATGAGTCTCTCATTGAATTATTATTATTATTATTATTATTATTATTATTATTATTATTATTATTATTATTATTATTATTATTAAGAGACAGGTCCACGGGCCACATGTGGCCTGACAGCAATTTTTTATTTAAATTTAATTTTAAAACTGTATGTATGGCGGCCTGCCTAATATGGCCCGGTCTATCAACTGTAAATAGTAATACCGTATTAAAACTGCATAAAGTGTTGTTATAGAATCAATGCACTGCTTGAAGGGTTTTATAAGCACATAGGAATTGTCAAATTATCATTATAAATTTTCCGAAGTTTGCGAGCGGCCCTCAATGTGTAATAATTTGGCCTTGTCACACATTTTTATACCCACCCCTGGTGTTTGTCACACAGACCACCTCTGACTTACACCTGTCTCTTATACACATCTAGATGTGTATAAGAGACAGTTATAATTATTGTTGTTGTGATGATGAAAATTTAACACAAACAATATGGTGGCTAAACGAATATTATTACATGTAAATATTTTTTTTATATTTGTTTGTTTCCCCGACAAAATGTATCTATGCTTCCCCGACCGGGGGGCTATGCTTCCCCGACGGGGGTGGGGGGGGGCTATAGCCTCCCCCAGCTCCCCCTCTGGCGCCACCACTGTCTGATGGTCTCCCTTGATTTGCGAGAGCCTATGGTTATTTTTAGTAACACATAGGGCAGACATAGGCCTATACGTAATTGACCTACATACCAATTGTCTGCAGGGTATCGTCACGTGTCAGCTGGAGTGTCACGCGATGATGTAACCGAACTATGATTGAGATGTCTCTTGATACAGTACTTGTTTTTAACGTAATAATGAAATCTGGTAATTCCGGCTAGAAACCAATTATGACATCAGGTTATGAATAAACTTTACGCCTAGTCTAAAGATGTTTAAAATCTGGAAGTAATCACCTTCTGAATCGATTCCT